AGGAAACAGTATTGAATATACAAAATGAATAAGACATGATCCTTAATCAGGAAGCTTATGTATTATAACTAGAGAGAGATAGACAGCCGTGGTCATGTCACTGTGCTCCAGGTAGAAGATGGTACATTAGGGAACAGCTAAGACATGGCGGGTATCGAGCAAAGCAAGAGGTGCCTTTTTGCTGGGCGGGACGCAGGGAGGGCTCCCAGAAAGAAGGGTCATGGTAAGTGGAGGCTAAGGCGGGAAAGGGGTATTGTCAGCAAACATCAGGGGTAGGTACTAGTATAGAGAACAGCAAGTGTTTGCCATACCTGTATTAATGCCAGTCCGAGTACAACTTTATCACACCCAAAGGTACAAAGCTGCTTTTGCTCTCCGAGGACCTCTGAGCATGGACAGGCAGAGCTGGCTGGTTATGTTCTTGTTTTTCTCTTTCCTTCAGGGGCTGTCAGTCCAACCTTTGACCTGGGGAGCCTGTCGTGTAGCCTGGAGCTGTCGGAGGACCGCAGGAAGGTGACTGTATCTCACATCCCACAGCTTTATGCCTGGAGTCACGACAGGTTCACCATCTGCCAGGTCTTCTGCTCCCAGGCCTTCTCTTCTGGGCAGCAGTACTGGGAAGTGGACACTCAGCAGTGCAGTCACTGGGCGATTGGCGTGGCTTCCTGGGGGATGAGCCGCGACCAGATGCTGGGAAGGACCAGGGACTCCTGGTGCGTGGAGTGGAAGGGAACCGGCGAGCTCTCGATGTGGCACATGCTCAAGGAAACTGTCCTCGGCTCAGAAAAACCTAGGGTGGTGGGCATCTGGCTGGACCTCGAGCAGGGGAAGCTTGCCTTCTATTCCGTGGCTAATCAGGAGAAACTTCTGGGCGAGTGCCCCGTCTCTGCCTCCTCGCCCCTGCACCCTGCCTTCTGGCTCTATGGTTTACATCCCGGAAACTCTCTGACGATAAGGCCGGTAAAGGTATAAAGGTTAAAACACCTTGGTTTCCTGTCCTCTTTCTCTGCCTTCAAGAACCCCACTCCTGAAGTTAAGGGGTGTGCAGTGAAGGGTTAACTCTGCACTGTCCAAAGAAAGAAAGAAAGGCCCTGGAACATAATCTCTAATCCTTTGGAATATCCTGCCTCATAAGAGCGTCTTCGTTCACCTGGGGGCCTTGGGCCGGGAGGTGTCATCGGCTTGACCTCGGGAGAGGCTAGAGACCAAGGTCAGCCACCTGGTTGGTGAGGCCTGTCTACCTGAGCGACCTCCATGGAAAGACCTGGATGCCAAGGCTGGTGTGACTTTCCCTGGTTGACAACACTCCTTGCACATTGTCACACATCGTTGCCGGGAGAATTAAGAATTGTCCATATGACTCCACTGGGAGAGGATAATGGGTGTCTCCTGGCTGCTGCCCTATGTGCCTTCTTTTTACTGCTGATTTTAATCTGTATCTTTTCACTGTATAAACTGTGTAACTGTTCTGCTGAGTTCTGACAATCCTAGTGAATCACTGACCCTGAGAGTGGTGGTTTTTGTTTTTTTTTTTGCCTTTGACATTGTCTTTATTTCTCATCATCCCTTTACAACCAACCACCCCAGGATTAACTCCCACACATACACCTCGAACCCAAATCTTGCCCCCTCCCCAAGCAAATCAGATGCATGTTTCTGATTGTAGGACACTTTGCCTTTGAGGTCCCATGAACTCCCCAACTTCTGCCCCTGCAATCCTGTACCCGGGCTGGGTCCCCCCCTTTCCCCATGCACACTGAGCGTGAACCTGAAACGTGGGTGCCCCCTGCATAATGCACCCCGGTCTGAGGTTTCAGCTTCCAAAGGCCCAGAAAGAAGTCTTTTCTGGGTGCACCCAGTGAGCAGGGTCACTACGGGGGCACATCACGGGCTCCATGTCATGAAAATGCCATAACATAAAGCTCACTATCGCCAAAGTGCTCGGTGGCAAGACAGATGATCCTGGGCTGTGCCCACTCCCTCAGTATCCCCATGAGCTCAGCCCAGATCTGGGCAAGTCTCTCCTGGTTGACGGTCCCCTGGATCCTGTAAACACTCCAGAGGGACGGGGTACGGCTCGACCTCTAAACTGCACAGCCCGGCTGTGTGGCGCAGCAGCTTCTCCACGGTGGCCACGGAAAAGTTGTTCTTAGAGATGGTGAACTCCCTGAGCTGGCGACAGCGGCTCAGGGCAGGCAGGATGGCCTCGACCTGGGAGTCCACCATCCCACAATGATCCAGGCCCAGGTCCTGGAGGGTGGGTGCCACTGCCTCCAGCAGAGCTCAGAGGGGCTCGGGACTAAAATCCGCAAGGCTGAGGCGAAACAGATGCAGGGACTTCAGCTGCCTGAGGTCCGGGCACTGGAACAGGGGTGTCGGGTCTGAATGCGTCAGCCTCTGGCAATTTTCCATGGGGAGTTTGTCCAACAGGGTCTGCAGGCACCTGAGCATCTGGTCCAGACGGCCTCTAAGGAAGGAGGGAGAAGCCATGTTGAGGTCCCGGAGGTGCCGCAGCCTGAGCATCGGAGAGAGGAATTGGGAAAAGGATCGCGGCTCCTCCTGCTGTTTCCTGTCCCAATCCTCTTCCTCCTCCCAGTCCTCCTCCTCAGCCAACACATCGATGTAGGAGAGAGAGAGTCCCTGCAGGTTACTCATCTGACCCAGGTAGAGACCAAACGTCCCCAGGGTGGGCAGGTCCCAGATGCAGTTCACTTTCACCTCCTGGATGCAGTCCAGCTGCACCCCATCCAGGACCCTCCTGACCCTCTGGAAGGGCACCTCAGAAATCCTCACCGCCTTGCAGCACAGGTGTAGCAACCCTTCCCTCTCCTTGGCCCATTGGATGATGTACATGAGAAACTCATCCCCGCCCCTTGCATTGAAGTTAAGGTCTAGGAACACCTCCAAGGGAGCCAAGGGGTGTTCCATGTTGGGGCTGGAGCTGTGCACGGTCACTGGTCCCCTAGGTGAGCACTTCGGGGTGCTGTCTCCACACCACATTCTCCAGAAGTTGGCACCCGTGTTCCTTAAATCCAGCACCCACAATTTCCACCTCCGGGGCCTCACCTCCTGGGCAAGCAGAACGTCAAGCCCATCCAACACGGCTTTTAAGACTGTGACCTCAGGCAGCTTCATCAGGTCCCCCAGAGGGAGCACAGTGAAGGGCCAGGCGTGCACCATCGCCTTCAGGGGCTCCCGGATTCTCCTACGGCAGGCCTGAGTGAACAGCGGCTGGAGGAGCTCAACCGGCAGGTAGTCCAGAGCTGTGCCGATTGAGGCCTGGTCCCTCAGCAGGCTCTCTCCTGCCAGCTGCAGGAGTGTGAGTGGGGTCTGGATGCTCAGAAAGGAATCCTGCAGAAATGTCTGCTGTGACCGGTAGGCTGGAGCTCGGATCTCAGACATGCTGGAGAACCCCCGCACTGACTGCAGAGCTGGAGGACCCTGAATCTCTCCTCTGGTACCTGACGTTTTTATACACCTTCTCAAATGCTAACATCCAGTCAGAACCGCCCGTCTCTATCCCTTTATTCTAAAGGGATTATTGCTTTTCTGCTGTGACCAGGTTTGGTGGGGCTCAGATCTGAGACCTGGTGGAGAACCATGGCATTGACTGCAGAGCTGGAGGACTCTCCTGAGAGTGGTTTTAAGGGACTCCCCTCCCCCCAAACACAAGGGGCATGTTATGAATCCCCGTGAAATATTACCACAAATGGAGCGGTTTCCAACAACACACATTTGTTGTCTCAGTCTGTGAGTGAGGAGCCAGGGCACAGCATCGCTGAGGCCTCCGCTTCAGCGTCTCACAAGCTGCAGTCAGGGTGTCAGCTGGGGCCTTGGTGTCATCTGAGGCTCGACTGGGGAAGGACCTGCTTCCGAGCTCACAGGGCTGTTGGCCACATGCAGATTCTCCTGGGTGGTCAGGCTGAGGGCTTCGGTGTCTGATGAGTATTGGTTTGAAATGATTTTACATCCATTTGTTGATGACTTAAGTGAAGCTGTTTTAATCCTGTTTATGCAAAGACAAGAAAATGTTTTAGACGGAAGTTGTTTTGCCCAACAGGTGTGGTCAGTGGTTGAGGGTTGACCTATGATCCGGGAGGAGATCAAGGTTCATTTCTTGGTCTGGGCACATGCCTGGGTTGTGGGCTCCATCGCCAGAAGGGGGTGGGGGGTGCAGGAAGCAACTAATCAGTGATTCTCTCTCATCATTGATGTTTCTATCTCCCTCTCCTTCTCCCTTCCTCTCTGAAATCAATAAAAATATTTAAATTTTTTTTTAAAAAAGACAGGAAGTTGTTTTGATATAGAGGAATGACGTAAGTTGTGTCAGGATGTTGTTATCTCATCTGTTGTTGATAAGCACTCAGTACCTCAGCTGCTAAGGGGCTCCCCCGGGGGCTCACAGATAACAAGGGGAGAAGCAACTATGGCAAGAGGACGCACTTAGACGAAAAATACTGGTACTCGGCTCATCGGTGCTGTCATGGCGGGCTTGCTGCAGAAGACCACCGGCCTTCCGGGACGGGCTGCATGTGAGAGCCCACATGAGAGGCTAAGCATATTGTACACAAAGATTCTCGATGTTCTTGAGCAAATCTAAAAGTGCTGCATATAGGAAGTACACAGAAGAGATTACAAATGAGAAGCTGGATATGGTTAAACAAGGCCAGGTGTTAGAAAATTAGAAGACGGACTTCAAGGTGGCCAAATAGAAGAGGCGATTCTTCAGGCTGAAAATGCGCTAAGTCTGGTGAGACAATGATACGGTGGAAACCATGGGAGCCTTTAGTGTAAGCATGTCAGACTACTCGCGGCCTGTGGGCCACATGCGGCCCACAACGAATGTTTTTGCAGCCCAGCCAATATAATGGTATGTAAGAAATGTTTTAATAAAAATTTCATTACTTAATTTTGACAATATCCTGTTATACATAATTATTAATAACGAACTACAATGTTCGCTAGTGACTGATTACTACAGTATAATCATGTTGCATCCATTTCCCTACGCGTCTTACGCGCAGGCGCACCATTTCTCCCTAATACTAGCAGCGGATATTTTAGCAGCCGCCGATTGCCACGTCATTAGTCTCGGACTGACTTGTTTGGTGTGCGCAGCAGGAAATATTTCGCTTTCGGAGAACAAGAAAAATAGGTTTATTTGCGTTACGCTTATTAATTTGTGCAGTTACCCAGTGTCTGGTAAGTTAATGTTCAAGAAAAAATACTAATTTTTATTAAAATGTTCTATTTTATGTTAATGATTACTCATTTATTTCAGCCCTTTGTATTCCGCATGTCACTATTGAAATAATCCTACGTTTCTATGAAAATAGAAGCTTTTGTTTTCTTGCGGCCCACATACACTTAAACCTTGTTTATTTGGCCTGTGTTAGCCTTTGGGTTTGACATGCTTGATTTAGAAGGCAGAAAATATACCTACTGAGTTTATGGCTTTGGGAGAAGTAGTTTTGAAACAGAATATTGTTAGTGCGAGTTAGTTGTTACTAACTGTGGAGAGCGGCTACAGCGTTTGGACAGGTTCAAGCCTGGGACTAGGGAGAGGGCACGATCCTCTCGTGGCAAAGTCACGTGCAAGTCCCAGCACAGTTACAGCCAAAGGCTACAGTTGTAAGCTTGACCTTATGGTCCGAACCTGTGGTCCCACGTGGCTGGGTGACATGGGCTGTGGGAGGTGCAGCAAGTAAACAAAGCTTGATCAGGTGCATGTAATTGAGTAGATTGGAAACCCAGGAGAACGTTGTCAACATCTTGACCACGCCCTTACTTTGCCTGGTGGACTCTGGCTATAAAGTAAAGACTCAGCTTGCAGGCCTGGGCGCTGTCTCGCCATCAGAGAGGGCAGCGTCCCACCTAGCGCCCAGCTTTCTTCTCTTGTCTGTCTTTTCTAGATCCTTCACTGCCCCCTCTCAGGTTCACCCATGGCCGTGACGGCTGGGCCCAACTAACTATATTTCATTAGAAACAAAAAAGTGATGACAGATAAAAACCAGCTCCTTTGCAAGCCCAGAAACTGGAAGGGAACAGAGAAAGTCTAGAAATCCTGGGGTTTACTGTGTTGAAAGGAACAATCATCTCTCATTGTCAACCTCTATGGGCTGTAAAATATTCTCAAAATAGGGCATAGCTTTAGGGGCAAAGCTCAAAACGAAAGGCATGGCTATGAACACACAGCCTTAAGGTCAAGACCAAATCAAGGGCATGACCATCACTCCCCATGTTAAGATCTCTGAGGAGGTTAAGACAGTCCCAGGGAATCCTGTTCGTTGGACAAAATGACTCATAGAAAGGCAACTGGATGCCATAAAGCCTAGCAGTGCCAAAGTACTTGAAGTTATATGGAGAGAGAGGGAGGGCAGGGGCCACGTCTCAAAGCGAACTGTGAGTTTAGCTACTGACACTTCCTGTTGTCCAAAGCCTAGATGAAATAAGGCTGACTTTTCAGAACATAAAATGATCTTGAGCCCCAGCATCTACAGGCAGGAAG